TATTTTTTAAAAGTAGCATGTCTATAAATTAAACATTGTTATTTATTGTTCATTAAATCCAGGCATCAAGTAAGAGAAATTTGGCATCTTCAAGAAATGGGTCAGACTTATAGCTCTACAGGGAAAGAATTAGCTTTATGAAAATGTAATCCAGTCATTGCTTCAAACTATAGTTAGAACATAGCACCACTGATTAGAGGAAATGGATTAGTTTTATAAATTTTTACTTATAATCTAAAGTATAAAATATAGAAGCATGAGAGTTTCTCTAAATTAAAATGAACTGAATCTTATTCATTTTTTTAAAAAATTCAGCATTTTACAGGGTAAATGTAAAAGTGAATCATAACTTAAAGCAAAAAGATGAAAAATGCCAAGTGACAGATGATCAGGTTTGGAAAGATGGGGTTCATGTCCGTTTCCTTCTTTAATGCCAGAGTAATGAACTTCAAAAAGCCAGAGGCTATAATTTATCATAGATAACAATCTTGGTGATCAGTTATAAGAAATGAATGACCTAAATACTGAGGAGACTTTTTGAGGGACCGCACACCGTCATTATCAGTAGTAGAGTCAGAGACTTCCCTGGCAATCCAGTGGCTACGAGCTCCCTTTCCAGTTCAGGGGGTGTGGTTTCCATCCTTGGTTGGAAGCTAAGATCCCACAGACCTCACTCAAAAAACCAAAATATAAAACAGAAGCGATACTGTAACAAACACAAGAAAGACTTTTAAAATGGTCCACATTAAAGTCTTAAAAGTTGTTGATGCTGAGTGCTAAATGAAACATCTTAGGTCCTGGTTACCTAGCATGTGGTTTCTGGCCCTCATGAAAACTATTCTGCTTCATTCAGTAAAACTTGTTTTACCTGTTTGGATACACATATACATATTTATCTCAGTTTCACAAATAAAGGTGCAAACTCACTCATTAGCTTTGGCCATACCTACAAAATAAGATGGAAAATGAAAGCAATGATCTGATTAATTCAGGCAGAAGTAATGAATATTTACTCTTCCCTGAAAGTACTGCCTGATAAACAAAAAAAAAAGTATGTTGTAAGATATCTTTTCCTGAACTCTCCAAACAGTTACTTCAGATTTTCTCCATGTATAAAAAAAGCAATGTAAAGTGAAGTCGCTCAGTCATGTCCAACTTTTTGCGACCCCATGGACTGTAGCCTACCAGGCTCCTCCATCCATAGGATTTTCCAGTCAAAAGTATTAGAGTGGGTTGCCACTTCCTTCTCCAGGGGATCTTCCCAACCCAGGGATCGAACCCGGGTCTTCTGCATTACAGGCAGACGCTTTACCATCTGAGCCACCAGGAAAGCCCTTCACCATGTATATTTTTGTTCAAATGCATATGCTATGTTGTGCTGTGCTTACTCAGTCATGTCTGACCCTGCAACCCCATGGATTGTAACCCACTAAGCTACCGCTGTCCATGGGGATTCTCCATGCAGGAATACTGGAGTGGGTTGCCATGCCTTCTTCTCAAATTCATATATAAAATAACGATTGTAGTGTTCTCTGAAAGACGATTTCAGTTCAGTTCAGTCGCTCAGTCGTGTCTGACTCTTTACGACTCAGGACCACAGCACGCCAGGCTTCCCTGTCCATCACCAACTCTCAGAGCTTGCTCAGAGTTTGTGATGCCATCCAACCATCTCATCCTCTGTTGTCCCCTTCTCCTCCTACCTTCAATCTTTCCCAGCATCAGGGTCTTTTCTAAGGAATCAGTTCTTCACATCAGCTGGCCAAAGTATTGGAGTTTCAACTTCAGCATCAATCCTTCCAATGAATATTCAGGACTGATTTCCTTTAGGATTGACTGGTTGGATCTCCTTACAGTCCAAGGGACTCTCAAGAATTTTCTCCAACACCACAGTTCAAAAGCATCAGTTCTTCAATGCTAACCAGTCCAGTCTCTGCGTATAAGTTGAATAAGCAGGGTGACAATATACTTTCCTTTCCTACTCCTTTCTCAATTTGGAACCAGTCTGTTCTAACTATTGTTCCATGTCTGGTTCTAACTATTGCTTCTTGACCTGCATACACATTTCTCAGGAGGCAGGTAAGGTAGTCTGGTATTCCCATCTCTTGAAGAATTTTCCAGTTTGTTGTGATCCACATAGTCAAAGGCTTTGGCATAGTCAATAAAGCAGAAGATGTTTTTCTGAAATTCTTTCTTTTTCTATTGCTAACTAATGTTGGCAATTCGATCTCTGGTTCCTCTGCCTTTTCTAAGTCCAGCTTGAACATCTGGAAGTTCTTGGTTCATGTTACTGTTGAAACCTAGCTTGGAGAATTTTGAGCATTAGTTTGCTAGCATGTGAAATGAGTGTGATTGTGCAGTAGTTTGAACATTCTTTGGTATTGCCTTTCTTTGAGATTGGAATGAAAACTGACCTTTTCCAGTCCTGTGGCCACTGCTGAGTTTTCCAAATTTGCTGGCATATTGGGTGCAACACTTTAACAGCATCATCTTTTAGGATTTGAAATAGTTCAGCTGGAATTCTATCATCTCCACTAGCTTTGTTTGTAGTGATGCTTCCTAAGGCCCACTTGACTTTGCACTCCAGGATGTCTGGCTCTAGGTGAATGATCATACCATCATGGTTATCTGGGCCATGAAGATCTTCTGTTTATTCTTGCCACCTCTTCTTAATTAATATCTTCTGCTTCTATTAGGTCCATACCATTTCTGTCCTTTATTGTGCCCATCTTTGCATGAGATATTCCCTTGGTATCTCTAATTTTCTTGAAGAGACCTCTAGTCTTTCCCATCCGATTGTCTTCCTGTATTTCTTTGCATTGATTACTTAGGAAAGATTTCTTATCTCTCCTTGATATTCTTTGGAACTCTGCATTCAGATGGATATATCTTTCCTTTTCTCCTTTGCCTTTCGCTTCCCTTCTTTTCTCAGCTATTGGTAAGGCCTCCTCAGCCAGAGACTGAGCAGATCAGTCTCTGGGGGGGGTCTCTGGGTCCTGGTGTGCACAAGGTTTTGTTTGAGCCCTCTGAGCATCTCTGGCCGGTATGGGGTTTTGATTCTAAACATGATTTTGCCACTCCTACCATCTTGCTGGGGTTTCTCCTTTACCCTTGGATGTGGTGTATCTTTTCTCGGTGGGATCCAAAGAAAGGATCTAAAATTTTCCTGTCAATGGTTGTTCAGCAGCGAGTTGCAATTTTCGAGTTCTCACAGGAGAAGATGAGCCACATCCTTCTAGTCTGCCGTCTTGTGTGTAATTTGAAAGAAAATTTAGAGCAACTCTTAGAAGACTTCAGATCCAGCCCATTCAAGAAGAATTAAAAAGAATAAAAAGCCTGGAAAATGTCTTCTTATTTGACATGGAAAGAAGAAAGGCTGCAGTTCATTTACATCTTGAAGTTCTATCAAATAAGTCTGATTATTGACCTTGAGACTATTGTAACGAAATTCTTATTTAAGGACCCAAAAGTATACCCAGAAACTTTTTTCTCAGCCCCCTATTTTTAATCACAAAGATGAAGAAACTAACAACATAAGTCTTGTTTATACTCAGATGACAGACATGTGACATGCATGCTCTGACGACTCTTTCCACATCACTGGCAGGCGTGATCAATTGATCAGACAGAAGCCAGGCTCAGAATCTCCCTGAACAGAGTATTACCAATTTAACTCCACACGTGAGACAACCATCTTTGCCATCCACCTCATATATTAATGCTGAGCAAATATAGGGAGTTAGTCGCATGTTCTAAAACATAAAAGACCAAGGGTTATTGCTACTGTTCCAGTGAAAAAAGTGAAAGTGAAAGTCGCTCAGTCGTGTCTGACTCTTTGCGACCCCATGGGCTTCGTCCATGGAATTCTCCAGGCCAGAATACTGCAGTGGGTAGCCTTTCCCTTCCCCGACCAATCTGCTTTTTACCAGGAGGTGAGTAGCTGGCATTAGGCCTGGTCTGTAGAGTAAAAGTATCACTGTGGTAGCTGTATGCAGTCACTGACCCACAGCCCATCAGTTCAGTCTGTCCTGCTTCCTGCCATGCGGAACTGAGGCCAGCCAACTTGAGGGACCTTCTGAAGGCTGCTGGGACTCAGGTCAGCGGTACAGGCCCCAAGGGGTGACACAGAAGGAGGAAAGAGTTTGATTCCCACCTGGGACCGCCTGGAAAGGGCACCAGTAATGAAGAGAAAAGGCAAGAAGCAAACGGTGGTTTATAGGCCCAGTCAGCAGGGGCAAGGTCACCGCACAGTCAGGATGCGAGCGTTAGCCCCACAGAGCGCTCTGGGACAGACGGGACGTGCCCTGACACCACCTCCTCCCTTGCCATTGCTGTGCGTGTGTATCTGTGCCGTGAGAGCAGCTATAGCCCCTGCTCCCTGCAGCCCAGCATGTTTCCAGAGCCTTTACAGCTGTGATATCATTTGTTTCCCACCCTGGTGGCTCAGAGAGTAGAGAATCTGCCTGCAGTGCGGGAGCCCCAGGTTCGATCCCTGGGTCAGGAAGATCCCCTGGAGAAGGGAAAGGCAGCCCACTCCGCTAATTTTGCTTGGGAAATCCCATGGACAGAGGAGCCTGCCGGCTACAGTCCACGGAGTCACAAAGAGTCAGACACGACGAAGCGACTAATACGCTCACTCTGAGTCAGCGCAGGAAAGCAGGCATTGTGGTCCCCAACTGTACAGCTGAAGTGCAATCTTTTGTCCAACATCGCAGAGCTGTAGCAGCCTAAAGTTCCTTTCCTCTGAAATATCTGCAAGAGGCGATGGAAGATGGATATTTTGGGTTACTTCCCATCTGAATGTTCAAATAACTGTGCCCTTCAGGGCTTTGCATGTACAGAACAGCTTGCAGTGGGGTGGTGACAGGGCGCCATGTCCCAGGCAGGGTGGTGAAGGTGGTTCCCCCAACCCCTAACCCAGAGTAGCTTCCGAATCGTCAATAGTAGACATGCTGGCTAATCCTCAGTCGTTGAAGGAGACTTTCTGTTCATCTTTCTGACAGTTGGTGACCCTGTTGCAGATGTGGGTTGTCCCTTTGTATTTCACGATAAAACTTTACTGGTGGCGATTTCTGTCTATGTGGGGAATGTTCTCAGTTATTACCAGCTACATCCTCTTCAGAGCCACCCGAAAACCCCTCTCAGGGAGAACACCACGGTATGTATTCCGTTCATTCCTTCCCCAGCACACCCTTCAGTTCAACCATGAGAAAGTATATTTCATTTCCTTTTTCCTGATGGGGAGTAGGGTGTTACACCTCTTTGACCCTTCGTTGCAAAACTGTTTGGAGACTTGCTCTACCGCTGTGCGTTCACATTCATATTTAATGGGGATTCAGACATGCCTGTAAATCTTATTGTTTTAGACAATAGCTAGTGAAGGCCAGGAGGAAGAGAAGTGAAACCATTGTTTAAATTTTCTAGAGCACTATTTGCATGTTGATTTTTAGCTCAGCATTTTATAGGGTTCTATGCTAAGTCAGGTCACAGACATTTTATCATAAAATAAGAGTTAGAAGTTTGCACTTCTAACAACTATGTACGTATTTCACGTCTGATAAATCATAAGCAATGGACAAGCTATTACTCACATAACAAATGAGGCTTTAATATTCCAACGCTCACTTTAGTTACCACTGCCAACCTCTTGAAATGTATATAGTTCCATCGGATCATTCACTAATCTTTCCGAAGTGTTTATAATCTCATAATCTCATAATGTGTCCACAAGTTTGTTCTTGCTGCCTGTGTTCTATAGACAAGATCTGAATCCAATTCAGATAAAACTGATGAGATAAAGAGAAAATGTGTAGTGTTCAGTGGTAATAAGACAATGTCAGATTTTGATCTGTGTTGGAGAATAAATCAGAAGTATCCATGAAACATTGTTATGATTATTAAGCCATTCGCATGCTCATTTGTAATTCTCTAGAGAAGTGGGGGAGGCAGATATCAACTTTTACTTCTGCTTTGGAGAAAGGAAAATATATTCAGTGAGAGAAACCAGATAAATAAATGTAATGATGAAAGCTGACATTCAAGTAAATGAATTCCAGGTTTATGAGTATTTTAGTTTAACCCCACTTCGGGAACAGCTTTAGGGTGATATTAAGAAACCTTCTAAGCTGGCCAGTTTAGGGTTTTACACAGCCTTTGTAGGGCCTGGCTTACCCAGCAGTAAATGGACATACAGTACCCTTTCTCCTTCTTACAAAATGCTCTACATTTTATAAATTGTTTAAGGCTTGTGAAAGAGATCTACATTTTGGATGAATTTAAATGTACTAGTTTTCATCTCCTGAATGCAATTCACATTCTGTTTCAATGAGAACACTTCATTTTTCTACTGTTTAATGAATTGCCTGAGCTACACACAGAGTTATTTCTCTGCTGGTGAAGAGGAACTCCAATGCCTAAAATACCCAAATGCTGCCTCCTGGTGCTTCATTGCTCCTATATCTCAGATGGCCAGAGCCCCATGCCCTCCGCTGCTCCTCCTCCAGCTTCTTCCTGCCCCTCAGCTCCTCGCCTTGGCACAGTGTGAGAACCAAGATGCTCCACTAACATTCTCGGAGACAACGGGGGTATCATATGAGGGCTCTGTTCCTTCCAGAAAAGCAACCTGGACAGAGAGTTCCGGGTCTGAGAAAGGGCCCTACGGGTCTTTGTGGGTGCTTCCTTACTCCTCACATTATAGGTGAGTCTCACTGTGTTCCATCTGGGAGTGGCAGGCTTCATGGCAAGTGAGGAAAGCTGGTCAGAGCAGGTTCGCGTGGTGCAGAGGGCGAACCCGAGAGGCATCTCTTGTACCGGTGCAGTTTAAAACTGGTTATTCCTCTCCCAGAGTACGCCAAGGCCCCTCTGTGGGAGAGAGAACAGAGGAAGGGAAGTGGGTTTCCTCTCTACTACAGGCAGGTTTCTGTCAAGCAATATTCAGGCTCAAAAACAGGCCACAGGCCAGCCACAAAGAGCTGGGACCGATCACATCAATTCCAGCCCAAAGCCAAGCTTCCCTTTGTGGAGGCCGCTCTGACACGAACACAGTTTCTAATCTGGCAAATCTGTTTCCAGTGTAATTTGAATAGCAAGGGAGTTCTGGGTTCTACAAACTCATACTGCCAACAAACAGGAAGACTTGAATGGGGGCAGGGAAGGGTAAGTTTGGAAGACATAACACTTCTATTACAATATGACATATTGAACGTTTAACACGTCAGTTCGTTTAAATGTTACTACATTTTTTCCCATAATCTTTAGGATGGCTTTAGGAGCTGGTGTTACCTGCCCCCCTCCTACACTTCATGAACGAAGAAACTGTAGGAAGAAAAGCTAGGCAGGGGGCCATGGTCCCGCAGGCAGTAAGCCAGGGAGCCCAGAATCAAGCCACAGACTATTGGAGTGCAAAGCCCCTGCCCCAAGAGCATGTCGCGGCCTAATTATGGTAACCAGCTGCTTTGCATAGAGAAACCCTGAAGTTCAGTTAGTAAGCAGACACACCTCTAATGCTGGCAAAACCTTGAGCAGAGACCCTCAAGGCAGAGAGTGTGTGGGGAGTTGAAGGGAGCCCACTCTGGTGCTAACGGTGCTGTGCAGGTGGAGGGAAGGTCCTCTTAGAGCAGCCACTTTTCCCAGCATCGCCATTTTTGGCAGCATTAACTTCTGCCTTCATCTCTTGCACTGACCAGTGTTCCGCAGTGCTCAGCACTACGTCATAAGGACCAGTGGCCCAAGGGAGTCACTGTGGCAGAAAGACCCCCAAAGTCCTCTCTGCCCTCTTATAGACGAAACAACTCACCGTCATTTGAGACACCTTCTACAGCCCCTGGGAGTTTCCTGCTCCAGGTGACTCCCCATTGCTGATCCCCTGATGGGACAGGATTACACCTTTAGAAAATGCTGTCTCGATAATGGTGGTATGTCAATTGCCTGAAGCAGAGAAAGCATTTCACCATAGAAATAATGTAAATGACAAGTCATTTCTCAGACAAGGTCACAAATCCTCATTTAAATCATGTTTCCTAAGATCCCTTTTAACTGGGACTCAGTGAAGCGCAGCGTCTTTTAAAATAACCCTGGCTCCAGGCACACCCAGGGAAATCCCCAGCCCATGCCCACTCCAGTCCAAGCCAGCTTGCCAAGTTGCCTGGAAAACATGTCCACAAAGCAATCTGGCGCACAAAGCCACGCCTGTAAGACTGCGGGGAGTTGTTATACCTGATTCATAGAAACAAGCACAAAATGTCAAATAAGAGGAGACAAAGGAATTTTTTTCAAAGAACAGAAAGATAAAAGAACAGAACAAGATAAAACTCCAGGAAAAAAAAAATAATGAAACAAAGGTAAGCAATTTATCTGATAAAGAGCTCAGTGATGGTCATAAAGATGCTCACAAATCTCAGGAGAAAAATGGATTAACACAGTGAGAACTTCCACAAATAGTTAGAAAATATAAAAGAACCAATCAGAGCTGAAGGATATAATAACTGAAACAAAAAATACACTAGAGGGAATCAACAGCAGATTAGATGATACGGAAGAACGGATCAGTGACTGGAAGACAGTAGAAGTCATTGAATCACAACAACAACAACAAAAAGAATTTTTAAAAACTAGGATACATTAAGCAGCCTCTGGGACAAGCTCAAGTATACTAACATTCACATTTTGGGAGTCTGAGAAGGAGAAGAGAGAAAAAAATGCCAGAAAACTTCTTTGAAGAAAAATTCCCTAAGCCGGGGAAAGGAAACACATACAGGTCCAGGAAGGACAGAGAATCCAAAGCATGGTGAACCCAAAGTATGTGATCCACATCAACACAAACCAGAGTTAAAATGGCAAAAGTTAGAGATGATGACAAAATTTGGAAGACAACAAGAAAAAATGAATGACATGCCAGGGAACCCCCCTAAAGCTATAAACTGATTTTTCAGCAGAAACTTTACAAGCCAATATGTCTTTACAGGACATATTTAAAGTGCTAAAAGAATTTTTTTTTTAAGTTGCAAACAAGAATACTCTTCCCAACAAAGGTAATTTCTCCTTCAGAATCAAAGGAGAAATAAAGAGGTTTCCAGATAAGCTAAAACTAAGAGCCATCACCACTAAACCAGCCTCACAAGAAATGTTGAAGGGTTTTCTGTAAGTGGAAAACAACTAGCCATAACTAGAAATAAGAAAATATATGAAAGGAACAAAACTCACTGGTAAAGGTAAATCCACTGGTGAAGGCAGTGGGTCAACCACCAATATGAAGATGAAAGGACAAAATCTGTAAAATAAAATATAACTACAATAAGTAGTTAAGGGCTACACAAAGCAAAAAGATATAAAACATGATGTCAAACCCATAAAACATGGGCTGGAGAGGAGTAGGAACGTAATACTTTTAGAATGCATTCGAATAAGTGATCATCAGTTCAAAACAAATCCCTGTGTGTATATATATATAATATGTGTGTGTGTCCATATATATGAAACTCATGAACCACAAACCAAAAACCCACAATAGATATACCAAAAAAATAAAGTGAAAAGAACTCTAAGCAAACACTGAAGAAAGTCACTAAAATATAAGGGAATAGAATATATAAGGGAAGAGAATAAAAGAAGGAGAAAGGAACTATAAAAATGACCAGAAAACAATGAACAAAATGGCAGTAAGTATATATATGGGAACTTTTAGTGTAAATAGACTAAATACTCAATCAGAGGACATAGGGTGACCGAATGGATTAAAACCTCAAACCCATCTATATGCTAGCTTCAAGAGACACACATCAGATCCAAAAACACACGGAGACTGAAAGTGAAAAGATGGAAAATATATTCCTTCTAAGTGGAAACTGAAAGAAAGCTAGGAGAGCAATATTTACATCAGAAATGGTAGACTTTAAAACAAAGACTAAAACAAAAGACAAAGACTACAAAATGATAAAGGGGTCAGTCCAAGAAAAGAATATAACATTTGGCAATGTTTATGCACCTAAGATAGGAGCACCTAAATACATATGGCACATATTAACAGACATAAAGGGAGAGATTGACAGCAATACTGTATTAGCAGGGGACTTTAATATTTCATTTATATCAATAGATAGATCACCCAGATAGAAAATCAATCAGGAAGTATGGGCCTTAAATGATTAGATCAGATAAACT